AGTTTATTTTGAAGTTTTAAGAAAAAAGAAATGCATCTACAGACTTGTACTTGCTCAGTATTTGTCTTAAAATGCAAAAACTACAAAACCTGTACTTCTTTCACTTAAAAGGGGTGTGTCTAATTCTTTCAAGGTGGAATAATTTTATATTTTCAAATGTATTTTAATATATACAGTATATTCATAATATTAAGTTACAATAAAATAAGCTAACCACATATCCTAAAGCAAAGCAGTGATAAAAATAGAGCTTTTATTCACAAAGTAAAAATAATATTAATGAAATAACCATCTGCAACAGTTTGCTTCCTTCAGTAATTAGTAAAATCACACATTTAATTAGTTATTAAATAGATATTTAATATTATATTTGAACCATTTGGTGGTTGTGATCATGACAAGACAGACATCTAAGAAACTAGAATATGGGGGATATGGTATGACCTACTGGCCCTTCATAAAATTTCTAGTGACCAGGCTCATGATCCTGCAACAGAATGGAAATTTACCAAACAAAAAAATTAACTTGCCCATGAGAAACTAGTTTGTCATTAAAGTGGAGTTGTTTTGAGTTGGTTGGGGTTTTTTTGTTGTTGTTGTTGTTGGGTTTGGGTTTTTTTTTCTTCCCACTAGATAGAAAACCTTTGAGCTCAAAATGTTAGAATGAACCATGGTTTATTCTGGGAAGTTCCCATTCACACATCGTGCAGGAATAGGCTGTAAGATAAAGCTGACTAAAATTCTGCAGTGGTTACTGAATCTAAAATAAGTTCTTATTTTGTATAAGTAATAAGATAAATTACTTCAAGTGTAACAGACTGTCAAGTAAGTACATAGTTAAATACTTTGGTAAACACATAGTTAGGCACTTGCTGTGGCAGACATTTTCTTAATAATTGTCTGCACTTGAATTAAAAAGTCTTGATTTTTACAGTCCCAGTTACAGTTGAGCCTTCTGTTGTAGCTCTTACATGCAAGTAAAATAGTTCTTCACAGAATACTAAAAAAGACAACATAACACATTGTCAGATGTCGCAAAGCATAGAAGTATCTTAAAGTAAAAAGGAATTGACTGCAGTACAGTATCAGGAATGAATTCGGAGAGCCTGAGTGGAGAAGGAAGTAAAACTTGCCAAAGCTAAACTTATTTTCAGGGCTTTCTCAAATTCAGAGGCATTGGGTAAAAGGAAACAAAAGGAGCTATCCACAGTAGTAGACCTATCAGTCAATCTTTCATCTCAATGTTCTTCTCAGTCAGTTTTGTCTGATGTTTTGAGGATAAATGCAGGACTGTCATGAAGAAATTTCCTGATTGCAAAAAGTTGTGAGGAATTTTCAGTACAGAGGAAGAAGTTTATGTCTTTGAGGGCAAGAGCAAGAAGAACATAATGAAATTTAATAGTATTATATAGTAAAGGCCATGTTGGAGGACTCATTATAAGACTATCTGGATGATGCTTTTAGTCATACTGTTTAGTTTTAGTTCGTCCTGTGAGGAGCAGGAAGTTGGACTCAATGATCCTTATGGGTCCCTTCCAACTTGCAACATACTATGATTCTACAGTAACTCTGGTCTCATTAATTTGAAAGTGTCATTGGAGGAGAATATCCTGGGAGCATTAGTCAATCATAGCTGAATCACCAGTGTGATGTAATCTGAAAAAAAAAAAAAAAAAAGTTGTAATTAGAAAAGGTGGTGATAAAATCCCATCTGGAATGTAGGTAGATTTCTGGTCATCTGTGATCAAGGAAGATAAATTAAAGTTGGAAAATGTGCTTTCCAAGACTGTAGAAGTTGTCAGAGAAAAAAACTCCAAAATTGTTGTGATTTAGAGATGAATAAATTTAGACAAGAAGTTAGAAGAAAAAGTGTGTTCTGGGAGAGCCTTCCATGTGGGAAAACACAGCTCTCATAACTTTAAATGGAAATAAGTATGACTAAACTCAGCAGGCCACAGGTCCGGAGCTGTGTGTCCTTCTCAGCTCCATTCCAATAGATCTAAACCTCCGCATGTTGTATGTGATTTCTGACAGAGCAGCCAAACTTCTGTGAAAATTCTTAACTGAATACCGGAAACAGGGTAGGGTGTCCCCATAAAGTTGTCTACATCTTGCATTTTTTTTTCTTGCTTTCCTTTCTTAGTAAAGGTGAATAAATATTGGAAACATAGCTGACAAGTACTCAGTTAACAGGGTCGCAGTACTGCCTAACAAATAGGAGGCAAAATTAAGGCTGTGTTTAAATTTTAAAAACCTGTGGCAGTATTCTTTTTCAGTTTCTTTCCTCACTGTTTTAGACAGGAGATGTCTTCCTTAATATGAACTTCCTGTCTTCTTGTGGGATGTACAGGAGTCCCTGCCAAGTATACTAAAGATACTCAGGGACAATTCCTACTTTAAAAGGAACTGCTGGAATGTTTCATTTTATTTTATCTGAAAAGGCTACCAAGAAAGTTCTCCTTACACCTTTTGGTCTCATTGGAGAAATTTGAAATTATGTATGATTTTAGTGCTATACTGCCAGAACAGCTGGCGGAGTGACAAGGATAGAGCATTAGGGTCCTCACGGTAGTCACATACTTTGTACTGATGATATAATTTTAGGATATATATATGTACATGCAACCAAGAAAAGCGAGAGAACTAAATCTTCCCTTATCTCCTATCTTTCAGCATATACCAAGCTTAAAACCAGTTTTATTATTCTAAGCATTGGATATAAGGTTTTTGGAATTAAAAACTTGCCCATTTTCATTTACTCAGTTTTCAGAAAAGAGGAATCTGATGCAAGTGGGAGAAATCAAATGCTTAGTCATCCGCAAATCCTTATTAACTGTCTACATGCATTGATTCAGTACCATACCACTTGAAGCAAAAAGGAAGAGGAAAGTAATTGTAATTCAGAGGAATTCCTGTTGGTTTAAATATTTTAAAATGAGACTAATGTACTTATGAAGATTGTACAGAATTGTACTTATGAAAATTGTACAGATTGCAAAATTTGGTCTGTTTCAAATTGAAATATAGGGTTGTTTTTTTTTTTTAAAAAAAAAAAAAAAAGTTGTCCCTCCATGCATATACATAAACATTAAATGTTCCAATTAAATTGGATTCAATGTGAAGACCTGAAGCAACTTAACTGAAAAATGTCAAACTAGGACATTTTTAATCTTAATACTTTTCTATCTTCCTATTTTTCAGTAAAATGAATTTTCAGAACAGTAGTACCAGAATTTGTGAGCCATATTGAATTTGATGAAACTGCATATTTAAGTTAAATCAGTTCCTTTTATACAAATGTCTCCATGCCTTTCTCTTATAGTGTGTATAATTTGTGGTTAATTTCAGTATATCATGGCGAAATTTGTGGAAAAAATATCTGTTTCTAACTGTATCATTTAAAGAAAAAAAAAAACACGCTAATGGACAGACTGGTATACTAACTTTAGCCAGCTTGTACAGAATCTATGCTTCTGATGGAAGGAACTTAACAGTAAAAAACTGTGTTAAAATCATTCTGTATTTTCATGGATACTTCAAAATATTATTCTTTATAAATAGTTCTACTTATTTATGTATTATTTGTTTTCAGAATAGAATGAAAACAATGGTATAAGCCACATGAAAATTTCCATTTTTTTTTGTAATAATGGCTAAATGGTTTTCCTGAAGAAATGCAAGGAAAGTAATTTTAAATTACAATAAAAGTAGTGTTCTGGAAATCACTTTTTGCACCGTCTGAGACTATGGGAAACAAAAACCTTGAGAATCATGCTGTACAGCAGATTGTCTAGAAGAGCAAGGCTCTTCTTCTTAAGTTGCTTTGTGTTAATGGCTATTAGATGTTTAAAATTTACCCAGAAGCAACATGTGATTGTACTGTGGCATATTTTCTTACTAGTTACAACAGCCACTCAGATTAAAAGTCCAAAACCAAATTATGGTAAAAATATTTTTTTGAAAATTTATTGTTAATAAATTTAGCATTTCACGTATTTCTTTATTTATTTGTAAGTAACTCACTCCAGTCTATCAATGTCTTTTATGTACTGGTGAGCCCAGAACTGGACCCAGCACTCCAGATGTGGCCTCACCAGTGGTGAGTGGAGGAGAAGGATCCCTTCCCTTGACCTGCTGGCAATGATTTTCATAATGCAGCCTGGGATGTTGTTGGCCTTATTTGCTTCCAGGACACATTGCTGGCTCGTTTCCAGCTTGAGGGCCCCCTAAATCCCTTTCTGAAAATCTGCTGAAAATCCGCAGCTAGTCTGTCTACAGCATGTACTGGTTCCCTGGCGCAGGACTTCTTATTTCCCATTATTGAACTCGAGGAGGTTTCTGTCAGCCTGTGATCAAAGAAATTAGCAGGGCCTAAAAACAATAATAGAGTATTATTAAGCTTTACAGACAAGTATTAGGTAAGTCACACTTATGAACACAAATGTATATGATTGACATGTATCAAATAAGAAAGTACAGTTTTTCGGATTTGTCAAATAAGGAAGTTTACCTTTTGGGTAGTTTTAAGAGGTACGTCATATTTTAATTCAGAAATTAACTGTTCTTAAAAAGGAATTTGTGTCTTCTTCAATTGGGTAAGAGTTCCCATTCATTAATATTTCTATTAAGTATCTGTTTAAATAGTTATATGAGAAAACACTGGAGTTTTGGAAATGTACCTTTTGGCTAGGAATGTTATATAAGTTGGAATAATTATTTGTTAATATAATAGTTATTTTAATATGTATGATTTTAATTTCTTCATATCCTCAAGCAAGTTGATTGTCTAGCACCATCTGGCATTGGTTTTTTAAAATATATATTTACATATATATAAATGTCATGAACAACTATTTTGATTGTAGAAAACCTTTACATTTCCAGAAAATCTGCTGTGCTCCACCTTCCCTAAAAAAGAAAGGTTATGCCCAGCCTTTCCTCATGCTCAAACAAGCTAATCCTGATCTTTCTTTTGTTTGTTTGTTTTCTTTCCATCACAGGAGTCATCAGGACTGCCTTGCACAACATGGACAGGGAAGCCAGAGAGCATTATTCCGTTGTCATTCAAGCCAAAGATATGGCTGGGCAGGTTGGAGGGCTGTCAGGGTCAACAACTGTAAATATCACACTCACTGATGTCAACGACAATCCACCCAGGTTTCCTCAGAGTATGTACAATTTCAGCATATAACTGATTTGAAAATCGTGTTGATTTTCAGTGAAGTAGAAAACTATTAGTGAAATCCAATTAGTATTCCAGTTCACAGGGGGAAGGCAGCTTGGAAAGTGTTTGGATTTGTCAATACTTTTTAGTTTTCCGGTGTTTTCAGGTGAAGCCCAGAGATGGCATAGCTAGAATATTGAAACCAGTGAAGATTTCTTTCAGTTAAACACTGAGTAAGAGTGAGATGGGTGATAAAGGAATACTCTTGTCATATGTGGGTTATTCTCCAGCCCTTTTTGAATGTATATTTCAATAAGCATGTGATTTTGATCCCACAAGTGAATTACGTTTTTCCCATGGTAGACAGCAATAAAAGGTAACACATTAAAAGATTTAATCCAGCATGCCTTTGGCTGCTTCCATGCACATCTATCAATTTTTTTCTTCCGTTTCTTTCTCTAACACCCATGTGAACTTGTAAGGTCACTTTTTTCATTACAGATAGTCAAAACTTAAGCTGGTTCTCACTGTTGTTGAGCTACGGTGGAGTCTGCCTTTATCCTAGCTAAATGAATTGTTGATGTTGATGTCAAACTGAATGTTGTCACATGCATATATGAAAAGTATATGCTAGAAAACTCTTAGAATGTTTTAATATGACCACTAATAGGAAGTTAATTTCTATCCAGCTCATTGAGTGCACATTGATCTGACACAGCAGCTGGAGTCTTGTAGGAATTCTGAATTCACTCAACAATTCATTTAAAAGTCTTCTGGAATGTAATTGCATAGCTAAACCTGCTTTCCTTTACAGATTGGCTCAAGGCCAATAAGAATATCGTAATCTGGACTCAGACATTGCATGAGCCCTTGCAGAACATAATGAACTGGTAGCTATAGGTACATCCACTGGGAAATGCATTAAGCTGTTTGAATGAGAAGATTTATAAACAATAATAGAGATTATAAAGCTCTGGGGAAAAACAAAGCTCCCGGGCAATACACATTATGTAAAATCTGGTCAAGCAATAAGAAGGCTTGTTAAAACTGTTGTAGAAATGAGTGTTTCTTCTGTGTCTCACAAACACATAAAAACAGAAAGCCTTTGAAACACAACTTTATATAAAGTATATAAGTTTTTATGTTCCACAGAATTGTCATTGCATCCATCACTCTATTTACTACTTCCTAACTATTGGAAAGGAAAAAGGTGAGGCATATCTTTGAACAAATATAACATATAAAGTATTTACAGTAGAAGAAATGTCCTAAGTTTCAGAGGGAAATGGATCCATATATATCAGGTTTCAAGTATTGGCCTCATATTTTGAATTGAAGGTTTTGGATATTAAACTGACTGGCAGGCAGAGCTGTACATTGACACAGCTCTTTTTTTTTTTTTTTCAGAAATGGAAGAAATATAAAAGTTCATGTTATATTCTATACATTTTAAGGGATTTTAATAATTGCAAAAAATAACATTGAAAACTGCAAAACATCATTTCACATTTAATGAAAACTCATTGTTTAACAAAGAAAAAAAAATTGTCATTTATTGATTTAGCAGAAAATACTAATCCTAGAACAAGTCTTGCAGAGTACAAACATTCGCTTTATCTTTCCTTACCCGAGATTCCTATACCACGGTTCTGATACTGCTTTTTCACTCCTTTTCAACAATGTCATTTAAACCCTTTGCAGAAGAACAGTAGCTATTACTCTATGTTAGTAATCCAGAAAAGAAGTATAGACAATCTAAAATCAGGCCATCTTAGCGTCATGAGGTATTACAATAATTCATGAGTATTGCACTAATAGAAATAACTTCATTGTTTATTTTTCTTCTCTTTACTTTGCATGCCATGATTTTCAGTTAAATTTCACTTCAATTTCCTTATTAGACGGAATGCTAAATGAGACTTACTGAGGCTTGTCACATTCAGAATTGAATTCAAGGGAAGTGCTAACCAAAACTGCATATATCAAGTGTAAAAGCCTTGGGACAGGCTGAGCCTCAGCTAAACCGCAGACTTTTCGTTAGTTTCCGCTTCTCCATTACCATACTTGTGAGTTTTGAATCTGACTCTTAACTCTATCAGTACTTTCCTTAAGAACATGCTGGCAAACACATCTAATTGATGCTTTTATTATTTGTTTTATTTAGAAATACGCTTTATTGTATAAATTTAAAAGGTCATACCTTTCTGGCTTTGGTAGATCAGTGTTCATTGGAGGTGCCTATGGAGTAAGGTATGCAGGATTTGTCCCCCTTAAAGAAACCCTTTAAAATTCTATTTAAAACTTAGAAATAGAGCTTGTAAATATGTCTGCTTAAATTAATTCAGTGTGGTTTTTTCCTGTATTCACTTTAAACATAGCTGACTCTTTCAAAGAAATTACTTACAAAAGAGCTACAGTTTTCCAAAATATCGGAAAGTCTAGGAGGAAGGATATGAAACATTACGGCATAATTTTATCAGTCTGAGAATTGCAGTTCTGAAATACATGATAATAATAATATCTGGAATAGGAAACATAGCTGAAAAATTCTTGCGAAACACAGTAGTATGTCTCAGAAGTAGGCAAGGGGTTGTGTTTCAGGAGAATAACCTGAAACCTTAAATACATTTTGCTTATCAGTTACTTCAGCGCATCTTGTACAATACTGATTTCTTTTCTTCATCATCACAAATTTCTTTTATTTAGAGAGTCAAGTTATAAATGAACGATCTATTTAATGTAAGCTGACAGACAGTGCTCTGCATGGGAAGATTTTGCTTTTCAATAATCAGTATCTCTCACTTCTTGTTAGTTTTACCACTGATGGATTCACTTGGTTGGTGGCTGAGGGTCCTAATTTCATAGCCATAAATTTATTCCAGTAACCCGACAGAAAATGTTCCATCCACTGATGACACTGTTAATAGCCTTGACTTACATCAGAATTTTCTGTATAGTTTTCTTTCATTAATTCTCTCTGGCGTCATTTAGGATGAATAGATTTTGCATGTTTTGCTTTGTTTAGGATGAATAGATTCTGATTGCATCAAGATAATCACACTAAGCAGGTGCTTCCGCTGATATGTTTTGTGCATCAAGTACTAACGATTACACTCTGGACAGTGTATAAGAGATCTGTAGTTCTTGTGTATAGAGCTGAATTTTACAAGGAAATAATTTCCTTGATACCTTATTTGTAATTTTGTTGTTTGTTACATCTAGCTCAGTTCGTTATGATAAAGCAGAATTTAAATACAAGTAATGGCTTAAAATATTTTTTTATGAAGCTTGGTTGTTGAGGCTTGGTTGTTTCATAGCAGTGTATAGACATGATGTGGAATTATGTATGTGCGTAATTAGTTTGACCCCACTTTTTACAATGTCATTGTATGAAAAGTACACAGCCATGTTTAAAAGGAATGTTGTATGAAGATACTCCAGTTAGTTCTGAAAAAGTAAGCTCACATCCCAGAAGTAGACCTCAACTCCTGTTTTGTGCTAGTAAGGTGTTGACTATCTAGCAGTGTTAATATAACTCATTAGCTAATTAAGTGCAAAGGTACCTGCTGTTCATTTTCTTTTGGAATTTATACTCCAATATGGTCCTTTCCATATCCCAGTTCCATATAGTATATCCAGTTCCTATCATCACCATACGTAACCATCAGCATCCTCTGACTCCCCACTGCCATGAACTGTAGACTGTCCTGTCCTCCTAGTGACCAGTCCAGAGCTATGTGCCTCTGAATGACCACTTGGCTACTGCCAAATTAAATAAATAAAGTGGAATTTTCTCTGATTTTCTTTTAGCAGGTCTTTCTCCTCTATTCAACGAGTAATTGGTAAGGTGCTTGTAGAGTCATAATGTCTTTGAGGACTCTTTGTTAGATTTGCTTGAAATTGGACAGGGATTAAAAATTACTGGAGATTACTGAATTAAAAAGATTACAGAAGTTGTGTGTCCTCAGAAAACTCAGATTTAAAACAAAACAAGCAAAGTGCTTAATAACTGGTTTGGGTTAAGATTGCTGACATCTGGTCAACTGCACCTTTGTAAATTAGATTTTGTTCATAGATGCTAATCTAATTTCCTGTTCATTGTGTCCCTTATGTGATAATGATGAGTCCAGCAACAATCCAGTGTCCGGGGAGTATTAGGAAGCACTTAATTCTATAAATTGTTCTACATTTAAATGTTGCCTATTTAATAAGATTGAGTTTTTTCATTATAATCAGAGGGATGCCTTTTTCATATTTCACACTACACTTTTACCTTTGTGACTATTCCCAATAGCTACTGGCTATAATACACTACAGGTAAAATGTATTGCAATGGAATAGTCCCATGTATCAATTATTGCTGAAGAGATGCTTAGATCTTTTAGTAAGACCTTAAATCAGTCTAGAGGGAAATGTAGAAAGTTGATTTAAAGCCAGATTTGCATAGAACTCTAATATTTTGTTCATCAGAAGATATATTCCTGCATATAACTTTATTCCTTTTCTTCAAAAGTGAAGTTAACATCCTGGAAATTTTATTTATTCTTATTTTTCTCACTCCTGATGCTCCACAGATTTTTTTGTACTACCATATTTACTGTTTTGTTTCCACCTGTGGTTCACAGTTTAGGATATGCTTTCCTAGAACTTTAGTTTACCTGTTACCAACAATTTTTATCATTTAACATGTGTTCCAGAATGTCTAAAGAAATATGGATTATTATGATATTATTTGATTATTTTTTTCATCTGTAAGATTTAGGGAGGATCACTTTTCCTTCCTAGCAGTTAGACAACGCTGACTTCAGAAACAGCTCTTTGTGTAAATAGTAGACAGGATGAGCCTGGTGTGCATGATCAATCTACTGAAAGGCAGTTACTAATATCTCATTAAAAGATAAAATGAGTAACATATCTGCACATGCCAGGGGAAATGACAGGAAATTAGATATTTCTAGGTGATAAGAAATACAGCAGCCTATATTATATTTTATGTCCAAACCA